ACAGCATTATCTTTTCCTATGCTATCGCACTTTAATATTTTTCATGTATACCCAAGTTAGGTCACGTGACCGCCTGTAAACAATCATGGCTAAATCCATCTATCACCCGCCATACATTGTTAGGTATAAAGGAACAGGGCGGATGTATGCACTCACTAGCTTGGATTCCTTGGTTTACTCTAAAAACCGATGATAATATTTATTTGTATTTTTAAATATTCTTAAGTTACGTTATTGAACTTGTGATGTTCTTCACTCTAGCTCGGTGGCCTTGGCTTACTTGCTCTTGGTATAATCCTATACTTCGGAATTGAAAAATGGGTTCCTATTGAAGATTTAGCGATGATACTGGACAACGACCTCTTACGGAGCAGCGCCTTCATTCTCATTGGAGCAGGTGCTCTCGTCTTTCTCCTCGCTTTCTGCGGATGTTGCGGCGCCATCATGGAAAGCAAGTGCCTCTTAGTCCTTGTGAGTATTCTTATCCATTATGTAATATTTTAAATATAATTTTAAATAAATACATTAAATAGTTAAAAAATGTAGTTAGTAAAAAATCAGTAATTATGTGTACAGTATATCTATATAAAATATCAAGCTACGACCTATAAGCTTTTCAAGCCAAACCACATCTCCACTATATGTGAGAATTTCAATCAGTTGTATGAGAGAAGGTCTCTGGGGGTTATAATAATAATAATTCTGGATTTTTATAGCACCTCACGTTGACACAACCTCAAGGCGCTTAACAACAACAGAGAAGAAAAACCAAAACAAATACTAATGTACCAAACAAAACAAAACAAAAATATTATCAAATATTTGGTTTTAGTTTAGTTTAATTAAGTTCAAATGATTGGTTTGATGATTATCAATAAATATTATTATTACAATACTTTGGCAGTGTTCTCCCCAGGGCAATAAGCTGTAACGCCCGTTACAGCTTCATTCAGAAACAAGTTTACCGTTACACCTTAAATTTACTGATACACCTTGTATGACTAGTAAATGTTCAGTTTATCAATTGTTTATACACAAGCTCTACATACACAATTTCAAAATACGAGGGAAATGCACTCTATCTTTCCATAAATTTGACATTAACAAAGGATAAACTGTAAGCCAGTAGCCAAAAAAACCACAAGTCTGAGCTCTGGAACCTCGTGTATTAAGCATAAACAATGATAATGGGACCATGTTTCGCTGTGCTGTGCTAAGCCTACCTACTTCTCTGACTACCTTTTAAATTCCATGTGCCTACATCACTCTTTCTGTTTAACCTTTTAAAACACAGTTGTGTTCCATGTATACTCATGTTGACATAGGTTTTTATGTGTTCTATTTCTAAATAAAAATCAACAACTTCGGACATTCTCCGGCCTAGGCAGTGAAAGTTGGCCCTTATCTAAAAAAAACAAAAACAATCACATATCACTGGCACTAGGTGAAAGGTCGATCATGTGTCACATGTCCTGTGGAGAACACTGTTTGGTAATTGGAAACATTTCAAGGCCTGTTACTTTCCTATTCATCCTAAAGCCTTTAATTTTCTTTCCCTTTTGCTTCTAACATGTTATATTTTCATTGCGGATTTTTTGGGCTCAGTACGGACTCCAAAAGTATGCATTTTCTTTTTGTTTTAAGGCGTATGCGGATTTTATAAGTCCGCAATGACGATATAACGTGTTTTCTTGTCTTTCTTCCTTTCCTCTTCAAATGTTCCTGATCTTTTCTTGTCCTTTCTCATGTTTCCTTATCTTATCTTTCACATTCCTTTCTTAGATTCCTTATCTTTCCTTTCATTTTCTTCTTATTCGTATCTGTCTTTCATATTTCATTCTTATATTTCTTTTCTTTTCTTAATGTCTGCGTGTATATTGATAGGTCTCCTATTGGTACTTGTGGACATCATGGGTGTAAGCTGGAGGTATGTGGGGTGGACGCAAATTAATTCTACTGAGTGGGTTAAAATATTGAAAATGACCATTAAGTTTACATAGGAATATGAGTTTAATTCTACATTCTCAATTTTCTCACCCCAAGCCGTTTTCCCCCTGATCATCAAATGTACACAAAGCTCACTATTTTAAATTGATGTTTCTCAAGTTATAGTTTCGTACATTTTTTCAGTACTTTTTGGTATTGCTCGTCGTATTCTGTGCGCAACTTGGAGCTGGGATCCTGGCGTCAATCTACTCAAACGAAATAGAAAAAGCAGTTGACGATGAACTAAAGAAGAGCTTTGCAAAGACTTACGGGAATAATACAGGTGACAATGAAATTACTGATGCCTGGCGGATAACTGAATCAGTTGTAAGTT